GTAATTGTGGAGCAATTTTTTTTTATAATTACCAGAAGGAAGCTGATTTTCAATTTGAAAATTTTGCGTCTCAAGTGTTACTCTGTACTGCGTTAAAGCGTGCTCGAGATCTGCTAGAACTTTTATCTTGCTTCTCGCTGGATTGTTAAAGAAATTTGTTAGGAAGTTGCAGGGGCATTCAATGTTTGTAATTTTTGGGTTGTTTTTTGTTTTATAATATGAGTACTGAAGGGTTTTAAATAGACAGGATGGTTTAATTTTATTGTGTAGTCTAAGTAATAGATTTTCCAAATTGGTTTTGCTGTGAGTGACTAGATCTGAGATTATCAAAGTTCTTTGTAGCTTACTCCAGGTTTTGATTGACCTTTATAATGTTTATTCTTTTTAATAAGGAAATGATGTGTAGTTTTAGGCAAGGGTGTGCATTGAATTTGTTTGATGGTGGAAGTGGTAGCAAATTAAACTCAGGATGATAGATGAATTGGTATGGTTTGGTCTCTAGAACGTTTTAGCATTTTTCCAGCTTATTCGGGAAAGCAGGAGTTTTCAGTGTAACAGTGAAGTTCTAGCACATTAGTGCCAATTCTAAGTCAGCCAACTGATATTTTTGTTGTTCATGTGTTTGTCTTTTTTGAACCGGTTTGCTATAAATAGCCCCAGTAGTGGTATTTGAATTTGCAGTGGGAGGATTAGAAATGCCTATGGATTGTGCTGGTAACGTTTAGTTAGGTTATAGCACACTCTATAGATATTGAAGTCTTTGTTGAAGGTCGCATGACTTCTATTGCAGCAGAAGAAAAAGGGTTTGTTGGTAAGTTTACATCTGCTGTTTTAATTTCAGCGAAATCTGCTGATGTTGGAAGTTCTGCGTTAGAATTTGTTGTTAGAGCGGCTAAAAAATGCGTTAGTCTTGGTATTGGAGTAAAAAGCGATAGGGATTTCAATGGTTTCAGTCTTATATCCTCATCATTGCTTGAATATTGTCTGGTTTATTTGAACATGTACCAGTGGTTAGGAAGGACTTGTTCGGTTGAGCGCACACAGAAAAGAGCCGTGGGGTTCTGCTGCTATTTTTGGTTTGTGACTGAGACTGTTAGTTAACGAAGTATATGGGGAACGTTTCGTTGCTTTTTGACTTGAGTGGTGTCCTTACATGGTAAAGAATTAGCCAAAAAGTTGAGAAATGAATTTTGTTTGGATGCTTTCAATTTCAGGGGAATTTTTTTGCAGAAACAACTTAGGACTGGTTTAAATAGTCTCCTTTGAGGTGAGAACTACGACGGGGAACATTAGAACGCTGTAGTGGAACATAATTGGTTATGTAAATGAAGGTTGGAAATGGCGCTTCATGTAAGTTTAAATGTAGTAGTACAGGCCTAAAGGACTTAAAGGTCGCAAGCACTAATTGGTATGGATATTTCATGTAAGTTCGTCACACATAAGGGCCTTTGCAATCAAGTTTTTTTTGGTGCATACTAGTACGGGAACCAGTACAGGTAAGGGGTCAAGAGAGCTGGGTTAAAAACGGATCAGTAAATGAAACCTGTCAAGTTTCTTCTCTCACTCATCAGTTATCTATAATGAGTTAGTAACCTACTGTTAATGTTGCTTTCAGTAAATTAGCAGCTGCTAAGAAGACTTAAAGATAGGATTTTCAGAACTGTTGTCTTCAAATTTGAAACCTTTAGATTATTCTATTGTTCATAGACACCAAACTTCCAGTGATGGTGGTCCCTTTATTGTCTATAGAACAAATTTTACTTTTTGAGAAGCTAACAGTTTTAACCAAAAAAGTTTGTGAATCACCGCGTGCTAATCGGTGTCCTCATTGTTTCATGAGGCTGATGTGCATATCACCAGTTTATCGTACAGCGGTATGTCACTTTAAGGCTGCCTACTCTTAATCCTCAAAGATGAAACGTAATTGAGCTGTAAGAAATTGATTGACGAGCCGCGTGATAATAATTAAAATAATTTAAATTTTTGCGAGTAAGCTTCATTTATTCTGCTCAAATTAATATATAAATATCAAGTTCAACTTGACAAGTCGAAGGAGGAATTTCTTTCCCTTTCTACATATTTCGGGGTAAATAATCGTTGTATCAACATATAACCGCGAATAGAAATTGACATCGAAAAATTGCCCATTTATGAGCCCCACAGGTGAAACCTGTTCAACAGTGCATTTCGCTTCCAGCTGCTCTTCCAATGTGGTGGCCTCATTTTCTTTTCAGCCGATGAATCCAATGAGCAGTAAATTGTGAAAAGTGCGCCTCTGCTTTATTACAACCAGTACAGATCGAGTTACCAAATTGAAGCAGAGCTTGTCTTCGCTGACACTGCTTACATTCTCTTATTTGTTTCATTGTTAATTTACGATATTACAAAGACTTCCTTTAGTTTCAGCATCTTTATGTAGCACTTAATTTTTTTCTCCTTAATTTTGCGTTTTCTTGGCAGGTTTAACACTGAAAAATCGCCACTACGTCTAAGTATGTTAACTAAGTATACGGATAAACGTATTTAAAACTATCAGACCCATACAACAATAAGCACTAGAAAAGCTGCATAGTTTTTTTTTCCCACGAATGTATTCTGATGACCGATACACTTAATTAGTGTTAACTATAATACTTATCACATGACTTCAGAGGTGACCGAAGTTCCGATAATTGTCAACAGCCGGGGCAGATGACTGTCGTACCTATACCTGGGGTAGTTATTACTTGGCTATTTGGTTTTTCCAACCAAAAATCTTCCTGTCCAAAAGTTTATATTAAACAGCAAGCTAAATATGAAGTTCCTTTGTCAGTGGTTTACTTACGTTATATTAAAAAAAATTTTTGAACATGACCAGATGGAAAATCCTAGAAATCTTACACAAGGAAAAACATGCCTTACGTGGACGAACAAAAATCATTTGATATTTTTAGCGTAAATTTAAAGGTGTCAATGATTAAGAACTATTGGCTACATGAAGATCACTAAAAACAGTTGCTTAACTTTCTGCATTTCCAATTCGATTTTTGAAATATGACGAGCAGTTGCCAGTCAAGAAATTTGGAAGCTGTTATGCTATTGCACCCCTTTGTTCTAATCTCACCATATAATGAAACTGTACGAATAAAATGCACCCATTACCCCCTGTGGCACCGATTGTCGACCGTCACTGATACATAAATTTTAACAGCATTAAGGTTTGGGGGAAAAAAGAAAACAGAATAAACTCAAAAACAATTGAAAATCACTGGTTTACTTTTAATTGAAGGGAAAAGGCATCACTGAAAGAGTTTTAAAATTTATTTCTTTACATTTAACTTTTAAAAACCATTTGTTTTTAGCAACTTAATTCATTTTTATTTAAATGAAAAAAAAAGAAAGATGAAGAAAACGGAAGGAACCCAATCACTGCTCGGCTGGCACTACTGTAGTTAAACGTTCCCACCCTCAAAAACATGGTTTTTTTGTTACTACCCTACTCTCATTTTTTATGTATAAGCTTACTGCTAAAAAAAACGGCATCTACAATAGCGATGTTACTAAATTTTGGAAAGTTCTTTCAAGACGACTGTCAAATTAAATGTTTACGGTATTAATACTTTGCTGAGACCAAAAAATAGCAGTCAATGTAAAAACAACTATTTAACCCACTTAAAAAGAAATAAAAGAAAGGAGAAGAAATTTAAAGCATAACACTTATTAAAATTTCATGAGACGAGAAATGCACACTAAATTATTAGATCAACAAGCTTTGAAGTCATACAGTATTAAGTAATATGTGAAGCTGAAAAATCAGCTACTTAGGAGTAAACAGAAACGATGCATATGCCGCACTTTATGAAAACTGCTGACAAACTATGAACACAGTTTCGTAACCTACAAAGAAGATAGGAGCACACTAGTTACACATTGAACGTGTACAGCAACAAAGTTCAACCATATTCATACGTTTCCGCTTTCATAACGTCAAAGAATTTGTTAACTTAATGATTACAAGAGATCCCTCAAAACTCCTAACAACAAAAATCCCTATTAACCAACACAATGGCAAACCCATAATTGAAAATATAGAAAAAAATCGGACTAAAAGCAGGAAAAAAGTGAAGAAAGACTGTCCAAAAACCAAAAAAAGATAAGAATTGTAGAATAACAGTAACAACGGTACCAATAAAAAGTTGAGCAAAAATCATGCAGTAAAAGTCGGTGAAATTTCCGTTGAAATATACTGGAGTAACCAAAAACGATAGCTAAATAAAAATTGTGTACATATTGAATAATTGCTGGCACTCAATTCTGCCCGTAAACTACGAGAGCGTTGTTGAATGTACTTTTTGCTATAAGGTAGCAAATATCTCAAAAAACAAGCACCATATTAAAAATTTGAAAAGAATAATTTTGCGAAGAAGTGTTTAGGGTAGTGGTGCTTAGAGGGAGTGCTTCTGCCCCCAATTAAGCCCGTGATAGAAACATTATTAGCCATAATTATCCTAGCAAAAACTGAATAGTAACAATTTAAAACACATAAGGTGGCATAATTTTCCTGCTTAGACGCTTTTTTGTAACCTAATGACAATTACAATGAAAAATCCTTCCAATCCATTGCTCTAATTCAACCGTAAGAATAGAAAAAATGGAACTAAAAATATCTTTTGGAGAAAATACAGCAA